AGTTTAGTTTCTGAGCCAGTACGTCCTATGTCAGTCAATGGCTTCGCTCGCGTCAAGACTGGAATCTAGGGTCCAGGACGGGCGTGGCAACTTTGGCTGACTTAATCTGATTGGGCAGGAATACAGTCTACTACCCATGGGTGGATCCTCCATCTCCGTGCTGAGAAAAGGCGTTCAGGTAAGACAACGCCCCTTTCCCTTGTTTGGAAAAACTAAGGAGAATTGGAGCCACTGATAGCTCCAAGGAGAGAGAGAGAGTTCCACCATAAAATGGGGACTACCACACAATAGCTTTTATTCAGACCTATGTCTCTTGCAGGGAATGGGGACTCTCAGTAGGCTTCAGATAGAACCAATTTGTTTTAGTGGTATCTCAGCTACTTTTGTGCTAGTTGGTGTTACCTGGCTTGTTATAAAACATCTGTAAAAAAACAGCCAAGCTCAGAGAGCACCAAGGACTCCACAGTTTTGAGACAGCCAGACGTCCATGCTTGATTATGAGGGCTCTCCCCTTAGATCAGGGGTGTCAAACTGCCGGCCCGCGGGCTGGTTTCGTCATACCGGAGCCGTGCCCACCCCATTGCCGGCAATGGCAAAAAAGCTCCGATAAGTCGCGCGACGTCACGTGACGTCGCGAGTTTGACATGCCTGCATAGATGAAAAAGCCGTGGTGGCACAGTGGTTAGAATGCAGTATTGCAGGCTAACTCGCTGCTCACTGCCAGGAGTTCGATCCTGACCGGTTCAAAGTTGACTCAGCCTTCCATCCTTCCCAAGTCGGTAAAATGAGGGCCCACATTGTTGGGGTCAGTATGCTGACTCTGTAAACCGCTTAGAGCAGCGGTTTACAGAGTCAGCATACTGACCCCAACAAAAAAAATGGCGGACAGCCTTGCTTGGCGACCCCCATAGGTTGAGAACCGCTTAGAGCAGCGGTTCTCAACCTATGGGGGTCGCCAAGCAAGGCTGTCCGCCATTTTTTTTCCCCTTTTCCGGCGGGTGCCTTACCTCCCTTGGGCTGGGCCAGCTGGTGGTCGGCCTGCTCCGTCTCTGCCGCTTGCCAGCTACGCCTCGGCCGGCGCAGGGGGCGGAACCACGCATGCGCGGCGCTCCTGGGCAGGGAAAGTCCTCGACGTACGACCGGTTGGGTAGTCCTCGCCTTACGACCGGTTTAGTCCTCGCCTTACGTCCGGTTTAGTCCTCGACTTACGTCCGGTTTAGTCCTTGACTTACGATCGGTTGGGGATCGCGGCATTAAAAAGGTTGAGAACCACTGGCTTAGAGAGGGATGCAAAGCGCTGTGAAGCGGTATATAAGTCGTAAGTGCTAGTGCTAGATGAGCCTTGGGGAGACAGGTGAGAGTGTTATTTTCGCATACAAGTGGGGGAAGCAGGAACAGCAGAGAGGAACGAGGGAAAGTGTTTGCAACAGGAGGAAGGGGGGCAGAAAGGAGAGGCAAAAGATCGGGGGGGGGGGAAGGTGGAATTTGGAGAAGGAGTTTCCAGCTTTATTTGATTTGTTTTCCATCGCCTCACAAAACAGGTTTCTGCTTGAAGAGGAAAGCCTTGAATACAAGTATTATAAGCTGAAGCTGGAGGAGACGGAGAGGCTTACGTCTGCACCCAAGGAAGAAATCAAAGACAAGAAGACCCCCGAGCAGCAAATCTCAGAAGCTGTGAAGATTCTTTTGTACAGGAGGAAAGTAGCAAGGATCAAGAAGAAGCTCTTTCAGAGGAGAAGGCCCGGGATCCTGCAAAGGGCCGCGAGGTCCAGAAGAGCCAGGAGGTCCACAACTGGGACCCAGACGCTCTTGTCTGCCGGGTCGATGCTGAAGCAGCAAGCAGCAGGCACACCGGTGTCCAGTCCCCACAGTGACAAACCCAACAGCGATCAGGCAGAGACGCAGCCCCTAAAAGAAACCTCAGGGGAAACGGACTCACCGAGGCTTTCTGAAAATTCCCCGTCTTTGATGAGCCAATTCCCTGACGGTAGGTAAAACCATAGAGGAGGGAATACTCTCAGGAAAGGCCACAAGCATTTTTAAGTCAGTGTTTTTCTCCACCTCAGCCGCTTGAAGAGGTGTGGACTTCCAACTCTCAGAATTCCCCAGCCAAGGTTGAGAAACATTTGATTTAAGTGATTTTTCTGCCTCGCCCAGAATGATGCAGCCTGAGGTCTCGGGGGTGAAACGCAGCTGCCAGAAGCGTTCGGTGTGATTCCCCAGGCCTTCAGAAGTTCTTACAAATTGTCCTTTTAATGCAGACATGCCAAACACAAGGCCCTGGGGGCCAGATGCGGCCCGCGAAGTGGTTTCATGTGGCCCGCGAGGCCATCCTGGAAACAGTGAGGGAACGGCCCCCACTGCCTTGGCCCTGGCCCTGGCCGGCCGGGAGCCCAATGTACAATTTTAAGGTGGCCATCTAAGCTGAAACACATTCAATCTTAGCTCCACAAGGCCGTCTAGAAACAGCAAGAGACCGGTCACTGCCGCGTCGGCCCTGCCCCCTGGGTGCATGCTAGGGAGGGGTCACCCTTTGTGAGGAATGAAGAAATGGACCATGCCTTGGCGCTTGCCCCGGTCCCACCCCCTTCTGCCAGAGACCCTCAGATCTGTCCCACTCCTGCCCAGGCCCCCACAGGCACCCTTGACGTGAACGATGTAGAGCTGGCCATGCCCACCCATTAGGCCACACCCACTCCATCCACGCCCACCCAGTAGGCTGCCCCCCCTGGCCGCCCCCCCCGAGGGCAACCGCAATGCTGATGCGGCCCTCAATGAAATTGAATTTGACACCCCTGTTTTAATGTAAGAAAATTGTGATACAGAACAGGGATCTGCAACCTTGACAACTTTTAAGACTTGTGGTTGAATATCCAGCGGTACTAAATGTCAGACTGAAACTGCCAGTGTTCTTAAATGACTAAGAATGCTTTCAGATCTACAGGTCGGCCAGATCTGAACAAATGAAGGTAGCCACCGTTTTGTACTTTTTTCTGTCAACTGATAATCTGCAAATAGTATTATATCTTCAAAACCAATTATAAAGAACATGTCCTAAATTGTTATTCCACCCTTCATCTGAAGTAGGAATGTTAATGTCCTATCCAATTAATTTTCATACTTTCTCCTGTCAGTTGAGTCACTGCAGTGACTTTTGTTCACTTATCCCACGTCACGGAGCTTCTTTCAGGATTAACTGTGCTCAGGAAAATAGGCTGCTGACTCTGCTTCAGATGATCATGTTATGCCCACCATTTCTTCTAGTAAAACAGGTAGTCCTTGACTTGTGACCGGTCACTTATTCAAAGTGACAACGGACCCCCAAAAATTATTACAACCTGATTTCAAGTTAGGATGCTCCCCTCCCACAAACACACATAAACATGCGTCACAATCGTGGGATCACATTTTGAGGGCTTGGCAACCAGCTCATCTTCATAGCCATCGGCAGCATCCTGTGGTTGTCTGATTGTGATTTTTTTTAAATGTTTTTTGCTGGTTTACTCCAGCAAAAGCACCCATTGGGTAAAATGGATTCCCTTAATGACTGCCACAAACAATGTCGTAAAATCGGGCCCGGTCACATGGTGCCATGCTTAATGACTGCAGTGACTTATAACCATTTACGGTCATAAGTCAAGGACCACCTGGATGCAATGGTGTTGTGTAACTCTACGTTTTTTTTTCTTTCAACTTGGATAAATGGCGACAAAACCAACAACGCTCAGTCAAGTTGAAGTTGCCAGGCATAGAGTGAGTGACAGATGAATCCCTTCCACTTTCATACCCACAGAAGAGGCAAAAAGTTAAGCAGAAGGAGTGGAAATCACAACTGCAGATGAGCTTTTGCTCTGTTATTGTTGACCCAGCTTTTTGCCTCTTTTTTTTTGTCCAAAACACATGCAGCTGCAATAAGCAACCAGCCCTTAGATCAGGATTTGAATGATGTACCAAAACATGCTGAAGGTATGATAGCCATCATAATAGCTTGTGGTGAAGATTACAGTCTGACTGATTTGGTGATAAGTAGGCTACAGTGCTACTGCATACCAAACCCCTTCATAGCTTGGTGTCTGATGCAAATAAATGCAGTCCGCGTTTTCTGGTGCAGCTGTGCACTCAACATAAAAATTCTTGCAGAACCATTAGAGTCTAATTGGCTTTTCATTCTAAATCATCTCAATATAACTGTTGACGTGTTCTCCAGAAATTTACGTGTACATTTTTGGTGCACCATTTGAATCCTATTTCTCCACATATTGCAGCTACGGGGAGCCACTGAGCCTCGGAGAAATATTTTTTTCCCCCCTAGCTTTGCACTAAGTTCATAAGAAGAGGGAGTCAAGCTATTTTCCAAGGCACCTGAGGGCAGGACAAGAAGCAACGGGTGGAAGCTAATCAAGGAGAGAAGCAACCTAGAACTAAGGATAAACTTCCTGACAGTTAGAACAATTAACCAGTGGAACAACCTGCCTCCAGAAGCTGTGAACGCTCCAACACTGGAGGGTTTTAAGAAGAGACTGGACGGCCATTTGTCTGAAATGGTTTAGAGTTTACCACCTGAGGACTAGATGACCTCCAAGGTCCCTTCCAACTACTACTACTACTACTACTACTACTACTACTACTACTACTACTTCTTTTCTTCTTCTTCTTCTTCTTCTTCTTCTTCTTCTTCTTCTTCTTATTATTATTATTATTATTATTATTATTAATTATTATTATTATTATTATTATTATTATTATTATTATTATTATTATTATTATTATTATTATTATTATTATTATTATTATTATTATTATTATTATTATTATTATTATTATTATTATTATGGAGGACAAGATCTTGAGGAAGGGAGAGTCCCGGCTCAGTAGCACAGTAGAAGTTCTACATGCAGGCTTTCCCAAGCACAGTCTTTGGCATTTTTGCATCAGGGAGTAATGATTTAAAAACAGATCAATGCGATGTATTCATTTTGCCTTTTACTGGCATTCAAAATAAGATTTCTGTTGACAGTGCCTCTATATGTACCGTTTCCTTGCCCAAAAACTTATCTTTCCTGGATGGTTTCTTCTCTTGCTTTTCAGTGGACCCTAAAGTCATGGTAACTGCTCAGAAGCTGGCTGAATTTGTTGCCGAGGTTGGGCCGGAAATCGAGCAGTTCAGCATCGATAACAGTGCCGATAATCCAGACCTGTTGTGAGTGCTTTGTTGTTTATCCACCCCTCAGTCTTGCTTGTCAATGAAAAGTGCAAATGGATAAGAGAAATACTTTGACATTATTTAACAGTCGTTTAGAGCAGGGGTAGTCAACCTTGGCTCTTTTATGACTCGTGGACTTCAACTCCCAGAATTCCTGAGCCAGCTTAGCTCAGGAATTCTGGGAGTTGCAGTCCACGAGTCATAAAAGAGCCAAGGTTGACTACCCCTGGTTTAGAGAATTCAGAGGTCGCTGCTGTTCTTGTTGAAATCCTTGCCAGACACTTGCAAAAGGATTGACTGCAACCTCATTTTTCAGAGTGGGAGGGGAGAACTGAGGTGGAAAGCAAGTTGTTTGCCTAAGATCACTTCCTACTTGATCAACCTAGAGGTGGGATTTAATTTGCTGATCGGTTGCATTGCCACCACACTATAGCAATAGCACTTAGACTTATATGCTGCTTCGTAGTGCTTTATAGCCCTCTCTAAGCAGTTTACAGAGTCGGCGTATTGTACCCAACAATCTGGGTTCCCTTTTTACCAACCTCAGAAGGATGGAAGGCTGAGTCAAGCTTTTGCTGGTCAGAATCGAACTGCCGGCAGTTGGCAGAATTAACCTGCAGTACTGCATTCTAACCACTGCGCCACCACAGCTCCCTATCTGCCAGACAAAAGTAATAAATACAACTCTCTTTGATGGGAGGGCATCAATTTTTAAACTGTTGGATCATATATTACTTGAGGGAAGGGGCTGTAATAGTTCTTTGCAAAGCTGATCAGGTTTGTGTAGACTCCAGGGCTTTTCAACCAGTGGTACGGGTACCACCTGTGGTACATTGGCACCTGGCAGGTGGTACGCAACCATCCTAGAAAAGGGGTAGCAGGGGAGGGGAATGAGCTAAACCGGTGGCAGCACCGCACAAGCCTGAGCGAGAGATGGCTGGAGCTGCAGGGCTGTCAGGGCTCAGCGGAAGTGCCAGGATCAGCGCCAGGCTCCAGCTGGAGCTCGGCGCTGATCCTGGTGCTTCCGCTGAGCCCAGAAGAAGCGCCGATCAGCTGGAATGTTGCAGCATCTCCAGGGTCTTGTGATTTACATTCAGATGCTTGGCAACTGATTCATATTTATGATGGTCACAGTGTCCCAGGGTCTTGTGAAGTGACCAAAACCTGCTGCAACCACCCAGCAGATGGGGTAATAAAAACCAAACACCCCCTCCACCCTACCCCCCCCTGCCAATCCTCAACAGAAACGCTCACAACAATGAAAACCTTGGACAGGAAGAAGAGCGCGGCCGGGTGGGCACGCAGGTGTCTTGCTCGGCTGTGGCTTGGGGGGCACTTTTTTCAGTGCCATTGTAACTTCGAACAGTCACTAAGCGAACTGTTGTAAGTCGAGGATTATCTGTACTTTATCACTTTTTTTCCTTTTTTTTTTTTTTTTTTTTGGGTCATCAAGTTTTTGGCACCTTGCTAGGCGACTGGTGGTACTCGGATATTACCATATCCTAAAAGTGATACAATGGGTGAAAAGGTTGAAAAGCCCTGGTGTAGACAAGACAATAACTTGCAGTAGGTAGACCATTAGCTGAAATTTGGCTGCATAGTTTTCGCCCGATCTGGGGGCTGCAGATTGGAACTGAGGGCCGCATATGCCTGCAAAGTGCAGATTTAGCACGCTTTATCAAGCCTAACTTAAGGTTCTTTTAAGAAGAAAATACTGTGAGGAAGAAAGTAGCTTTGCGTGGCTCCCCCCCAAGTGCATTCCACTTTTCTTGGAGGAAAAGTGGAATGAATTTGTAACAATAAATAACACTGTTCTACACTCCCCCCCACACACAGATTTCTGCAGGATCCAGAGAGTTCTGCCTTCAAGTTTTATCGCATGAAAGTCCATGAATTATGCCCTTCTATCACCTTCGGTGGTGGGCAGGGATCTGGTGACCTCCACGAAGGGTCTGAACCAAAGGAAAGTGAATGGGGAAACCTGGAGGAGGAGGAGGAAGAGGACGAGGAAGAAGAAGAGGAAGACGAGGAAGAAGAAGAAGAAGAGGAGGCTCCCCAAGCTGAAATGGAAGATGAAGAGGGAGATGAGGAGGAGGAGGAAGCTACAGGGCCAGCCGAGGAGCCAGAAGAGGCCATGTTGGAAGAGGGGCTTATGCAAGGGGACCAGTCCAAGACAGCTGAAGAAGGACAGACCAGCAGCACAGCCACAGGTGCCCTTTCAGAGTCACTGGCACAGGGACCCACGCAGGGCACCCACTTTGGGCGCAAGAGAATCAGTAGCAAATCCCTGAAAGTGGGTGTGATTCCAGCATCGAAGAGAGTATGTCTCATAGACGAACCAACAGGTAAGCTGAGAAAGTGTTTCATTGTGTTACCGCTAGGCTACATTGTCTTTGACCTTGTTCTCATCGGGTGCCAAACTGTTAAGTGTGAGATCCTTGTTGGTTTCTGAGCTCCGTTGTTTTCTTGCAGACGTTTCATTATCCAGCCAGATCACATGATCAGTGCTGCTAAGTGGGGAGGGGGGGTGCTAGCACCAACCACACAAATGTCTGAAAGAAAACAATCTAGCTCAGAGATCGCCAGGGACCCCACAGCTCAACCCTGGGCTACAAATATTCTCTTAACACTGGTGCCTTGTGAATGGTTTGGGGCCTTTGGGCCCGCTGTCTAAACTTAGCAACCAATTTTGTTGGCTTACTCAGTGTTTAAACCCAGTTTCTTTTAAACCGTGAGCTAAGTGCTTTCCAATTTCGTTGCGAACGTCACACTCTGTGCGGGTGGCAGGCAGAAGAAGGAGAAAATCCTTGAAATTCTGAACTGAATTCCTAATTATGACATGGCTTTGAGAGACAGGTAATTTGTACAGCGCGGTTTCTTAACAGCGTATTCCTTGTTTTGTTCATTTATTTTGGGGGTTTTGCCGTAAAACGTGCCCTTCTCTCCAAATCTCAGGGCGTATTAAAAAAGCATTATTTTTCCACATATTTCTTGCAGGGCTGCACTTAGCCTCCACCTCTTTTGCTGAAGATCAGACAGGTGTCAGAAGCATTGGAAAGCAGCTAGCAAATGGTGCAGTTAATTGCAGCTGGCAGTTTTGACTGATTTTGTGTGCTATATTAAGCCTGGTTTTTCACAACACAGTTAATGGAACCAACTCATTTTCTGGGTCAACGCAATCCATTCAGTTCACTGAATTGTCCAAAGAGGCTGGGTTTGCAGAACTAGCGAAGGACAAAAAATATATATATGTTCAAATGCTATATTTAAAAACAAATCAAATGTAGCATATCATATAAATGCAGCCATTAGCCCATCTGGTAATACTTATGTGTGTGTGTGTGTGTCTTCACCATATTGATTTGTGATGATTGCAAAACCTTAGCAGACTTAGCCCCAGCAAGCCCACATTGAGGAGTCCTTGGTTGTTGCTCTCTGAGCTTGGTTGTTTTCTTGCAGAGATTAATAATAATAATAATAATAATAATAATTAAAAAAAATAATAAAAAGTTGGAAGGGACCTTGGAGGTCATCTAGTCCAACCCCCTGCTCAGGCAGGAAACCCTATACCATTTCAGACAAATGGCTGTCCAGTCTCTTCTTTAAAACTTCCCGTATTGGAGCATTCACCGCTTCTGGAGGCAGGTTGTTCCACTGGTTAATTGTTCTAACTGTCAGGAAGTTTCTCCTTAGTTCTAGGTTGCTTCTCTCCTTGATTAGTTTCCATCCGTTGCTTCTTGTCCTGCCTTCAGGCGCTTTGGAGAATAGCTTGACTCCCTCTTCTTTGGGGCAACCCCTGAGATATTGGAGCACTGCTATCATGTCCCCCCTCTTCCTTTTCTTCATTAAACTAGACATACCCAATTCCAGCAGCCGTTCCTTATATGCTTTAGCCTCCAGTCACCTAATCATACAAGGTAACATCATCAGTGCTAGATTTGTTACCTAGTTGTAGGAGATGACCAGGATGAGCCCGAAGGAGGGGTCAAAAGCGTCATCAGTCATGAATCTCTTCGCGCCCACAACAGATCTAAGTTCGCGTACCTTGAATTTCATTCTATTCTCCCACTCATTTCCCTTGACTGTTAGTAGTTCAGATTCCCATACAGAGCTTAAGCTTATAACAAATCTTTATACACATTTGAACTGCCTGGATGAAACGCCTGGCAGGAAAACAACAAAGCTTTGAGCGCAACCAAGGGCCCCTCACTTCGACCCTGAACTACAAATAACAGGTAGTTCATTTAGTGACCGTTCAAAGTTACAACGACACTGAAAAAAACTAAACCTACGACTGTTTTTCACGCTTGCAACTGTTGCAGCATCCCCAGGGTCACGTGATCAAAATTGGGATGCTTGGCCACTGGTTCCTATTTATGACGGTTGCCGTGTTCCAGAGTCATGGGATCCACCTTTGGCGACCCTCTGACGAGCAAAGTCAGTGGGGAAGCCAGGTTCATTGAACAGTCGTGTCACTATGTTAACAACTGCAGTGATTCACTTAGCAACTGCGATAAGAGAAGTCGTAAAATGGGGCAAAACTCACTTAACAAAATGTCTCACTCAGCAACAGAGATTTTGGGCTCAGTTACGGCCGTAAGTCTAGGACTGCCTGTATTGAAGTCCACATGGCATATAGATCAGGGGTAGGCAACCTTGGCTCTTTTATGACTCGTGGACTTCAACTCCCAGAATTCCTGAGCCAGCATGGCTCAGCTTGGAAACCTCTCCCTTTCCCCTCAGCATGGCTGGCTCAGGAATTCTGGGAGTTGAAGTCCACGAGTCATAAAACAGCCAAGGTTGCCTACCCCTGGCATAGAGCCACCTCAGACTAATGTGTGCTGCCCTTACAGATCACGTTGCATCTGCCCCAGGAAGGAAAACAGATCTAGTAAGTGATCTCTCAAATGTGTTAGGCTCTCAGCCGAGTTAAATTTCCAGTGGCTGTGGCAGCCATTTTTCTGGGTTGTTTGAAGTTGGGGGAAGTCCTCCACCACCTCAGCAATCAGATTGAGGAGTCCTGGCAAGGATGGCACTCTGCAACCAACTCAACTGCCTCCTCCGCAGAGTAGCACTACTTAATGCCAACAGAGTCTTGCAGGTAACCATAGCAACTTCCCCTCCCCCTCCCCGGTCCGAGGAATGCAGCTGGTGTCAAATATGAAACCTGAGTGAGGAGACAGGAGCTTCCCCCTCCTCCTGGTTTCCTTCATCCTCCTGGGGCTCCTGAAAGCAGAATTTGTATTTCAGTTATGAAAAATGTACAGGTGTAGTATAGGGGGTACCTTGCTCAATAGTAGCAACTGTGAGAGGGACCTCGGAGTCCTAGTGGACAATCACTTAAATATGAGCCAGCCATGTGCTGCAGCTGCCAAAAAAGCCAACACAGTGCTGGGCTGCATTAACAGAGGGATAGAGTCAAGATCAGGTGAAGTGTTAATACCACTTTACAATGCCTTGGTAAGGCCACACTTGGAATACTGCATCCAGTTTTGGTCACCACGATGTAAAAAAGATGTTGAGACTCTAGAAAGAGTACAGAGAAGAGCAACAAAGATGATTAGGGGACTGGAAGCTAAAGCATATAAGGAACGGCTGCTGGAATTGGGTATGTCTAGTAGTTTAATGAAGAGAAGGACGAGGGGGGACATGATAGCAGTGTTCCAGTATCTCAGGGGCAGCCACAAAGAAGAGGGAGTCAAGCTATTCTCCAAAGCGCCTGAAGGCAGGACAAGAAGCAACGGATGGAAACTAACCAAAGAGAGAAGCAACCTAGAACTAAGGAGAAACTTCCTGACAGTTAGAACAATTAACCAGTGGAACAACCTGCCTCCAGAAGCGGTGAATGCTCCAACACTGGAAGTTTTTAAGAAGAGACT